AAAAAGAGCTTCAATGAGGGTCCGGAAAGTCAAAGACGGGTAAGAGGAAAAGGTTTGACTGATCAACCTAAGACAGGGGCTTCTGTTAAATCTTCATCATGTTATAGGCCTGTAAGACAGATGACCCCAATGACGGGTAAGACAGCCAAATGCTTTTCCCAACCTAAGACAGGCTCGGACATTCCTTTACTTTCTCTTAAGCTTCTTCTTGCTATGGAACCAAAGTTTTAAAACAAAAAGGGAGGAATTGTGGGGATCATGAGTATTGGTTGTAAGTATTGTTAACTCTAGTAACTCCATATGTGTTAAGTTTCTCCAGTTTAGCAGGTAGAGTGTTTCCTTTGTGGAATTCCTGAAAGTTACAGTTTCTTGTCTCTGACCTTTAGATGTGTGGTTGTCCGGGTTACTACTACTCACGGTGGGTTGTTTTGGTGAACCTGTTTGCTCCTTTCCTGTGTGACCTTTCAGTTACTATGGTAAACCCATCCCATAATAGTTTGTGGTTTTTTGCTTTAAAAGGCCGGTGCTTGCCGGCAATAAACGCCGCCTTGATCAGACTCTTGTCTTGGCGTCCTTCCTTTCTCTCTGCCCCATCTCCACCCCGCTGCTCTTTCAGGTTTGAGACACTGCTGGACAGTGCTCTGCGTCGCCGGCTCGCGACAGCAACCCTCCTGCCTCAGCCTCCTTCAGTGCTCATATTACTATTTTTTTCTGCAGGCTCATATTATGTAGGTCTGTGCCACCCACCCCTGTAGAAAAAGCAGTAGACTTGCTGTGAGAACGTGTATCTATCATTCATTCAAAAGTATTTTTCATTCTATTATTATGTGTACTGCTATTCCTAGCAACCCTCCTGCCTCAGCCTCCTTCAGTGCTCATATTACTATTTTTTTCTGCAGGCTCATATTATGTAGGTCTGTGCCACCCACCCCTGTAGAAAAAGCAGTAGACTTGCTGTGAGAACGTGTATCTATCATTCATTCAAAAGTATTTTTCATTCTATTATTATGTGTAAACTGCTATTCCGGGCTCTTCCCCCCCACCAGCTATAACCATGGACAAGACACTCTATCCAAGTTTGGATCTAGAAGTCTCCACATCTGATTGGTGTATACTGTGAGATCAACTCTGGAATCAACATCTACCAAAAAACAAAAACAAAAACAAAATGTTGGAATCAATATCTACTTCCTGGAGTCCAAAGCAAACTTTCTTTGTAGATGGAAAACATTGCCTTGAAACAGGGAATGGAGGATTGGGAACGGAGGGTGGCTCCCATGCCGGGGTGCTTACCTACCATGCTGGAGGCTCTAGGTTTAATCCCTGGCCCTGAAAGGGTGGGGATGACGAAGAATAGGACTCATTCTTCTTTTTTTTTTTTTTTAAGCGTAGGAAACATTTATTGAGGGAAAGAAAGCTTCTGTCTAAGAGAGACAGAAGGGGGACCAGAAAGTAGGTTGCCTGCCAGGGCTCATTTTTGGCCTCAAAGAAAAGCAAACAAGATGGGCCAATTACAAAGCAAAAAACACAGGAGAGCTCTTCGTAGTAAAATGAGTGAACTCATTAAATATTTGGAACAGCCTTACAAGCCGGGTTCTTTTCTTCATATTATTAAAAACATAATATTTTACAGATGAGGATGTTAAGATTCAGAAAGAATAGTGTTCAGGCAGTAAGTAACAAAGCAGTGATCCAATTCTGGAATCCGGATTCTGAGCCATTATTTTATACTGAACCAGAAAAGAAGCAGAGGCCTAAGGAGGAATTTTCCAAAGTCATAAAGCAAATGGTGGCTGAGCCTTGAAAACTGCCAGGTGTCCTAGCTCACCCACTAGCAAGCAGGCCTGACATCTTCTCTCCTCCATACCCCATCAGAGCCCCAACATGACTTCCTAGAGAAAGAAAGGGCTCGTGTGTCACCTCTTCCTGCCGTTGTCCCTTGAACATATGGAGGCCTCTGGGCATATCCGGAGGAGAGAGACCATACAAGAGAGGGGACCTAGGGTGCCCTTGTGACACCACATGCCCCTTCCTTAGCCAGCTGGCATGTGTCAGCTGAGACTGCACAGTGTCTGCATCTGCTATGAAAATAGAAGTTAGAAGCTGAAAAGTTCTTGAGCAGCTAAAGAATATGGATAGCGAGGACCAGGCACTGGGTCAATGAGGATTTACAGAGTGTGGTCAAAGTCCAGGCCCTGCGGTGAGTAGGATGGAGACATTTCTGTGCTCCAGGAGCTGGCGTTCTAGCTGGAAGCGAAGGGTCAGGCACAGCAAGGAGTTTCCACTCTGGAAAGTGCTGGAGCAGGACAGGGGTCTGTGACAGTGCAAGACAGAGCATCTGATGCAGCATAGTAGCTGGGCTGTAGCCAGAGCAAGGGTCCTGAGCTCTGTAAAAGGTAGCAAGAGGGGCACACGCCTGCAATCCCAATATTCGGGAGGCTGAGGCAGGACAGCCACTGTCAAGGCCAGCCTGAATTACATAGTGAAACCCTATCTCAAAAAAAAAAAAAAAAAAAAAAAAAACGTAGAAGGAAGGGATGGGAGCGTGACTGGGCAAACAACAGAGATGCAAAGACCCTGGGACTGACAGGAG